TTATGTATGTGACGCTTCTTAGTAATATATGATGTATCTAGGGAATTTTCTCTATTAATGATGTGAATGAAACTATTTGTATTGAAGGTTAGACTTAGCAAAATCCTTTTTGAAGTTGTATTATTTGTTTTCTTGTTGGTTTTTCATGATTTCCAATGACTCATGGTTATCATATAGGCACAATTTCAATGTTATTGGAATTTATTTGTTAACTTAGAAATCATTTGTTGATTAGGTTTTTTGACATATGAACTCGTTTTCTCCTCCTCTTGTAGTGTGTGGTCTGCTGCAACTGAAAAGGAATGTCAATTTTGGAAATGATAGCTGCATTTGAGAAGGCATATGGAAAGGTACAAAATTGTCGAAACTTGTATTTAAAATTTTCGTACTTCGTCAAATCATACAAATGGAACTTCTTGTTGCTGGAACTTTGTGTTTTGGACAACCTATATTTTGGTTCTCCTATTCATTTGATGCCAGTTTTCTCTACTTATTCTTGATCCCAATCCAACTTGTACTTGAGTTCCTTTAAATTAGTTTTTGAATTTAGCTCTACAAATATGTAGGAATTGCTTTTTGTATAATGTCATGAGTTAAACTGGAAGTAAGTGTTGATAATTATTTTTTAATTGTGCTTCTTATGCATAACTCATGAGATTCTCTTTAGGGAACATTTCAGTTGGGTTTTAGAGGGCTTGTAGCAAAATTCTAATTCTTTGTTAGAGTTTAACATAGTTAATGTTATGACAGCCCTTCGAAGTTGAACTATGCAATGGCTAACTTAGCTAAAGTTGCTGTTTAATTCTGAGTATTGTTATGTTATGGATTATTTCTCTCAAATAGAATATTGAAATATGATACTCCCAAATATAAAGAATGGAGAAGAATTGATAAGGACCCGTATGAATGAATTTTTTGGGGTCAGTTTAGTAAAAAATTCAAGAATAATTAATTAAATTAAAAATTTTGATGGATTTTTTTGTTGCTTGGTGGTTTGTACTGGGGTATAAGAATGTGAAAAATCAAATTTGGTACTCTTTGATGTTTGCAAATTAGGAACAAAGATAATTTTGAACAGGAAATTAGGTGGATGTCATTGTCTTGTTTAAGGTTTGTGTGGCTTGGTTGGTGAAAGCAATTAATTCGTCATTCACAAGTGGAGTCATTGATTTTGTGTTTTGATCTTTGAGGGGTCAATTTAGTCAAAAATTCAAGAATAATTAATTAAATTAAAATTTTGGATGCATTTTTTTGTTGCTTGGTGGTTTGTATTGGGGTATAAGAATGTGAAAAATCAAATTTGGTACTCTGTGATGTTTGCTAATTAGGAACAAAGATAATTTTGAACAGGAAATTAGGTGGATGTCATTGTCTTGTTTATGGTTTGTGTGGCTTGGTTGGTGAAAGCAATTAATTCGTCATTAACAAGTGGAGTCATTGATTTTGTGTTTGATCTTTGAAACTTGGATGATGGATTGGTGATTTTCTAAAAAATGTTATCACAAGGTTGAAGGTTCATTGGGTTTTAGTTTGTTTTTCTGGTTCTTCGGCTTTTGGTGACTATAGATGTTGTGGCAACATCTTACGAGAATGATATTCTTACATTATATGGATCAATTCTTCCGCTCTAATGACTAGAATAGGGCGTCAGCTTTTGCCATCTTTTAAAAATCTCAATTTTCAGAAAATTACTCTAAACCAAACAAGGTGACTAGTTCTGCAAAAACTGAACTAAAATCTTTAGATTTTGAAATATCTTTTGTATACGTAAAGCATATCCATGTTCACATCAGAAAATGAAATCCACTACCCTAGTTGTAATAACCCACATTTTTGTCGTAGTCATGTTCATTAACATTGGTATGATTATGACCCGTTAAGCTTGCATTTGCATAATTATGACTTGTTTTGCCTAAGTAAGATCCATGCCTTGTTTTGATGTCTATGTGATTTGTCTAAGTGTTGTGTGCTTGCTTTGTTCCTTCTTGGTACCCCGAGCCTAAGTTATGTTTAGCCGAAGTCGTGCCAAGCCTAGGTTATGTTAAGCCTAGATCATTCCAAGCCGAGGTCATCTTCAGTCTAGAAGTATCTTGGAACCCCTTTGTTTGACCTCCACCTTCGCCCTGGCATATTGGCCGAGATGTCATTATCTAGGCCGAGGTGTGAATCACCAAGGCCGAGATGTGTATCATCTAGGCCGAGATGTTACCTTTACACCTGAGTGATCTTGTCCTTGAGTGGTATGACCTAGACCGAGGTGTGGCACATCTAGGGCAAGGTGTGGCACAGCTTAGTCAAGTGTCGTCCTTCCTAGCCGAGGTCATTGTCACCTTAGTTGCCGAAGCTTTGTTCTTAGCCGATGTCACCACTTGCCGGAGTGCCATACCGAGTAGCTTGTTAGATACGCTTTGTCATAGTCTTGTCTTGTCAATCTATGACCTTTTTGAAGAGAACCAATCAGCCGCTGGCACGCGTCCGAGCTGAGAGTTAAGTCAGCCGATAGAGAGAGAAACCCTTCATTTGTTCCTATACTTGTTTTGAAGAGTAGAGAGAGAAGCTCTAGAAGAGGGAGAGGAGTTCTTGAGAGGAGGTAGACTTCCAAGCTTGATCCCTAGAGATCGAACCGTTAGATCCGTGTTCTAAGATTAGATTCTTGATCTACCCATGTCGTTCTTTATGTTTATGTTATTGCATTGCATGATTGAACATGATTTGTAAGCCATGCATTGCTTTGAAGTTCAGTTTTAGAAAGAGAAAATGGCATTCATGTGTTCTTCAAGAAAAGTCATGTTTTGATCCGAAGGCTCATGCCTAGATCCACGTTTCTGTGTTTGTTTTCGCATGATTTTCAAGTATGGGTACCCAGGTCCATGTTTTCGAACTCATTGCATGAAATCCCAGATCTTTGTAATAAAGAAGTTAGGATTTTGGCATTCATGTTCTTCATGTTCTTCATGTTCTTCATGCTCATGTTCTTCCTGTTCTTCACGAGTGGAAACCCGGATCTCCAGACATCACTTCCCGAGGTGTAGTCGCCGAGATCACTCTCACCTAGACCTCACACTTAGGCCAAGCATCGTATCTCACCTTGGCCTACCATGCATGATCACTTACACCTTTAGTTGTCTTGTGCGCATCACGGCATGCAGCCGCATGCCAAAGCCTAGGTAGCCACACCTCGGCTAGGAGGTGTGGGACCTCGGCAACGACCTGGTTAGTACCCAGCATGTCTTCCTGACATGTAAAACAGTGTTTTGACTTCCAGCATATTTTCCCGAGATTATTTGCATGCATGTGAGACTAGTTGAGAAGTGCATTCAGTATGCTTTGCCATGTGTTTGTAGGACTTGGACCTTTGCCTTGGCCTTGACGTCCCAAGAACTAATGTGAGTGGTATTTTTAATAAAGTTATGTTCTTAAGGTTTTGATAAAGCTTTGCCTTGTTTTGATAAAAGTATTTGTTAAGCATGAATGATATCCCTATTTTATGTATCAAGTATAAGCTTTGTTTTGGATGACATTCTTGGAACCGTCCTTTCGTGTTAGGGGACGTTAAGCCTATGTAACATAGTCCTTCCATGCTAGGGGACTTTAAGCCTAAGGCCTATGTAGCCATAGCCTTTCGTGTTAGGGGACGTTAAGCCTAAGTAACGTACCGGTCCTTTCGTGTTAGGGGACGTTAAGGCCTATGTAACATAGTCCTTCCGTGCTAGGGACTTTAAGCCTAGGTTAGCACCGCCCTTTTCGTGTCTAAAGGGACGTTAAGCCTAAGTAGCACCCTTGTTAAGATATCGGCTGCCAAACGTACTATGAACGGGTGCGCTCGATGCCGAGGTTATGTTTTTGTTTTTCCGGAATGTCATCACCCCTTGTTTTAAGAATTGACGCATGTTAAATAAGTAAGCATGTTTTGAAGACGCAAGATTCGAATGATGTTTCATTCAAACCAGCTATGTTATGTTATGTATGGTTTTGACAAGGATATATTATGTATTGTTTTGAAAAGATCTCGGGTATCATTCATTTAACCCCTTTATTACTTGTAACCATTCACTGAGTATCTAAGCTCAACCCTCCCTATGTATATAGTAGGTAACAAGCAAGAAGTCGGCTTCGCCGAGATGTGTGTTTTGTATGCATGTTATGTCAGACTGTAAGGATGTCAGCAATCCCGAAGATTATGTTCCATGATTTGTAACTCAAGCGTTTTGTTTATGTCGGCAATTTTGATGCTTATGTATTTTGAACATGTCGGCTTGTAAAGCCTTTTTTAAGATGTAATATGTATTTTGTACTTTATTTTATTTGTATTCAAGTTGTAAAGCTATGTAAAGATGTATGCCATTCTATTTGACTTATGCACTGCTCTTATGGACCACTTGTATTTTAGAATATTGCTTTCCGCACTTGTGAGCCCCTATATATCTATACTCTGATTGTGTGTGAATTTTGAAAGTTGGCCTTCGGTAATCTCGGATTACTGGCCATCACGGCACCAAGCTACTAGGTGCGGTTTGGGGTCGTGACAGAATGGTATCAGAGCACAAGATCTTTATAGTACGTTATTCGCAACTTTGAGTCCTAAAGAGCATAGGATGTGTCCCTTAGAATGATTTTAGGATTGCATCATATTGCTTGCTACTTGACAAGGTGTGCATCATCTGCGGCATAAACATTTTGTTACATCGGCATGATCACGTTCACTTGCATACATGTTCATTTGTTCATTTTATTCTAAGAGTCATACCTGGCATACTCCTAGCATCATGAGAAGAGGTAGACCTCAAATTGGCCGAGATCAATCTGAGGACAGAATAGACAAGATTAGAAAGATTGGTTGAAAGTTTGGCCAATGAGTTAAGGCAAGCAAGGCAGAGACACTGGTAAACCACCTCTACTCAGGCCGAGGCAGACAGATGGCGACATGCAGTCCACACCGCCAGTACCAAATGCCCCCGCAGCCAACTTTGTATGGAGAATGACACATTTGACTGATTCAGGGAATTCAAGAAGATGAAACCCGCCGAAGTTCCAGGGAGGTATTACCAGCGATGAAGCAGAAGCATTGGATTCTTGATGGAGAAGATGTTCGAGGTTTTCCCCAGCACCGACGCTTCAAAGGTGTCACTGCAGCATTCACATTTGGGAAGACGACGCTCGTAGATGGTGGATGATGATTCGAGAAGGCAACCCAGACTTTGACTTGGGCCAGATTTTTGGAGCTGTTCTATGACAAACACTTCCCACTCAGTGTTCGACGATCGCAAAGACTACAGAATTTCAGATGTGGACACAGGGAAGTCAAAACAGTGGCAAGACGTATGATCGTGCTTTCACCCGAGTTGGCAAGGTATGCCCCTTCACATGGTCGACACGAGTATCAGAAAAGCTAGGAAGTTTGGAGAGTGGATTCGAGGGCCAATACAAGACCAAGGTTTAATTTGCTCAATTATGCCGACGTATGCTGGAGTGTTAGATTAAAGCCATCCTTACAGAGCCAACCTTGAAAAAAAAACCAGGAAGTCAAAGTTTGGGGAAGAATCAAAGGAAGAGGCGAGACTGTTTAATGCTAATTTCCACATATTATTTAAATGCATCTGAATTAATTTTCCACATAATTATTTAAGCTGTAATTGGAATTAAAATGTTATTAAAAATATCAACATTACCATTTATAACCTCAATAATTGCTACAATTCATGCATTAATATTGGTTGCAACTGTTATTACCGTTCACTGTTGCACCACCACCCACCACCCACACCACGCATCACCATTTGCTATTATCATCACCTTCATTATCACTGTCATCTGTTATCATAAAACACATACATCATTTCAACTAGTGAAATTTCATCTCTTAAGTAAGTGAAATTTAACCTTTAATATTTAGGTTGAAAATTAATTAAACAAGTAAAATTCTACTAAATAAGTAAAAAATTTATAAAATTAAAGGCAAAGACGAACTTAGCGAGTAAATGGAAAAACTTATGAATTAAAGAGAGATGTCACTAGGTTTTCGTTGGAGTAACACTAATTGTTACTATTTAATTTTAATTAAGCTAGCAGATAATTTAATTTTCTTCATTGAAATTTGTTTGTCTAATTAATTCTGTAATGTGTGCATTACACAATTTTTAAATTGTTTAATCAAAACTTTGATAGTAATTAATTATTTCATTTATCTTAAGTAGTGGAAATTCATTCTCTTCAAATAGTTAGTCATAATGTTTAGGTTGCAATTTAATTATTTAGCAAGTGAACTTTCTAGTAATGAGTAGAACTTAAAATCAAATGCCAAAAGACGAATAACGAGTAAATTAGCAATATTTATTAAAGGGTTAATGTATCATTTCATAGTTTAGGTAGTAAAAGTAATACTTCATTATAAGTTCTATGAAGGGGAGGAGATAAACAGAGGACCTATTATAGCTAGTTTTTCAGTGGAGAGGAGTAAATTGATATACCTCATGCTAGCTTTAGGAAAGGTCAAATAATACTAGGGCTTGAGGTAAGAAATCCGGTAAATCTATAATCCGATTCGTTCCAGCCCAATCCGGTAGGTTTGATTGGTTTTTTGAATTTGTGGATCTCGGTTCCGGATTGAAAAAATTAAAAATTCTAATCCATGGATCCAATTTCATCGCGGAACTGATTCGGACCGTATACAAATAGCCTATATATCGAATATTACAAACATTCTCCCGCTAATATTCTCTCTTATTCCATATAACACCTAAACCCAAACCTAAAAACTGCCATTAGCTATCGTTCTTTATTGCTTTGTTGTTGGTTTTTTAGTTTTAATTTGTAGGATCTAAATACTTATGGTAGAAACCAGTTTTCTTGTGGTTGCTTAAATTCTAGAACAGTATGTCGCTATATGAAAAGACATGTTGCTATTATGGAACTAATAATGATGTTAATGTTCATATTTTAATGAAATTAAAGTTCTATATAATTTTTTGTATTTATTATTAATGTAAATCCGTAGTCCTAAACACCGATCCAATCTGTGTTTAAATGGATTGGTTTGGAATGCGTTCCATGATTTAAATAAATTAGATTGGGGTTCGCAATTTTTTTTCCAAAGAACCTAGATACGATGGTTTTGATTTTATACCTCAATTCGGACCATGCTCACCCCTAAATAATAAAGGGGGTGTTGGAAATTTTTGTATAGTAGATAGAGAGAACAGACAATGACATTGGAAATTGTAGAAGAAATCACAAGTTCAATGAGAGAAAAGTATGTTTTGAACCCTTTGATAAGTTGCCTCTACAGAATTTTAATTTTTATCTCTCGAAAAAACAGAGACAAAGAGACATAAAGAAGAAAGGTTTTAGAAAAAAAAAAAAGGCTTGTTGTGGATCTAATGAGTGTCAGTAGATCTAAAATTAGATCAAATCTATTGCCGCAACAATGGTGATGGACAATGATTAGACAGAGTTTACATGATTGCTGGATTTGTCATGAGATAGAGTTTGTATGGTGATGGACAATCGTTATGGATATTCAATTATTATTTTGACAATAAAATAATATATCCTTTTTTTTAAAATTTTTTTTTTTGAAAAACTAATAGTATGTTTAGTTTAGAATTACAAAAGTTATTTTTGAATTTTTAATACATTTTTTTTTTGTTTTAAGCGAATTTTATTAATATTTTAATTAAAAAATTTAATTTTAAATTTAATTAATCTAGATATAATTAAAAATTAAAATATTTAAAAAAAATTCTATAAATACAAAAATAAAAAAAAATAAATGAATTTTTTATATTTTTGTATTTGGTGTAATTTTAGTTTTTTTTAATAAAATTTATACTTTTAAACGTATCTAATTTTGTACCTTTTCCCCCCTCAACTGAGTAATAAAACTTCAAAAAAATAAAAATTATAAACAATGAATAATAATTAAAAAATATTAATTTAACCAGCATAACATATTTTTGACATCTAAAAAAAAAAAAATTAGGAACAAATTTTTTCACAAAAAATTATCTTAATTTGAAATTCCCTCCTAAAATTTAGGACCCTCAAAATTTTGCTCCTAATCCCTCATACATTTCTCATGTCACTCTCTCCGCTGTCTCACACAACTACTCCCTCTCATTCCTCCTCCTTCACGGGACAATTTTGTTGCTCCCATTCCAACCGTTGTACCGCTTGAAATCAAAAGTCGACACTACCGATTCACGAACTTGGACTATTCATTTTGACTAGGTAAGTTGATTTATCTTCTCTCTCTAGATCTTATTCTCTGTCTTAATTTCTCACAATCAACTCCCTCTCTTAGCAATCTCTACCGCACAAACTTTCACCGCCCTGTAATCACTACCGCACCATGCCACGCGTTGGCACCGTCTCTCGAATACAACGGAACCCCACATTTCGCACGACCATCGCTACCGCCAGCCAATCCCACCGTAAGCTTGCTTTCCAATTGCTTTTGTTGTTCCTCTGCATCCTCTCTTACTTCCTGCCATCGTGCCCTAATCTCTCTCTCCTCTCTCTCTCTCTCTCTCTCTTAGCCACCATATTTTGTTATGGGTATATGTTATTTCAAGATTTGCTAATTCGAGGAGTATTTTTGTGTTGGTGTTTCACATTTATGTTTCCTTTGATCAATTGCAAATTCAAGCTAAACACACAATATATTTATTTTGGATGTACACATGAATTATTGGAAGAAAAAACCTAGTGTGATGTGAACTAAGAATTTGGATATTGGTGTTGTAGTCTATTTTAATTCAATTTATTGACTTTCACTGCTATAAATGTGTTGTAGTTTCTTATGTATCATTCGGTTTTGTATATTATTTTAACAAGGGAAAAAGGATTAACAATGGTAACCTCACAACAGAAAAAATGTATGCAATTGGTCCACCAAATCAAAAACATTAATCAATCCTAAAAAACCTCTTGATTAATGTTTTAAGGGTAAGGGGTAGTAACTTCAAACCTGGTTTTCAGGTTTTCAGTTTTTATTTATTATTATTATTATGTTTTTGTTTTGTGTTTGTGTTTGATGCTTTCGGTTGGAATCATCCAAATATCCATTAACAAGGGAAAGGTGGGGTTTACAATTCAATTGATTTAAAAGTCATAGTTGTGGAAGGTTTATAATTTAATTCTAGGTGGAGTAGTTTAATTTCACAATGAACAATTCTTTGCAAGTGTTTGGACTGATCAAAAGAAATTTTGGTTGATAAATCATCTTTTCTTTATTCTTAGCATCATCTACATGTAAAAGGCATTGCATTTGCCTTTTTTCTTTTCTTTTTGTATTTCTTTTTTTAAAGGTTCCTACATTTAGAATTGTAACGCCTCTCCAAAATAATAACCATTAAACCCACAAGATGAGACATGCATTTACATATAAACTAACCACATTCTTTAATACATTAGAGTTCCATTACATAAGTATTACATGTTAACATCAAAAGAAAATGCCCTACACGGGCTTACAGCTTTCGCAAGTTAACACTTGGTTACAACAGGGTACTACTCGTTTACACATTAAGCCCTTGGCTGAAAGTTACATGTAATACATCAAAAGTTTGAGCGACAAAAATATGTCCGCCTCTAAGCCTCCCCGAGCTATGTCCTTTGGAGGTGGCATGCTTCCTGGCACTCTGAAATGATATTCCCATATAGGGTGAGCCACAGCCCGTAGAAATACACTAAACCAACCATGAAACAATGAACTAAAAATTATTAGCAATTGATAGACTGGCTCGCATACTGATACAATCACATAAATCACCATATTTATGTCATACGACTTATGAAGTCCAAGTTTCCTTTCATTTTCCCTTTTTCAACAGATAAGCATGCTAAGCTCTATCATCATTTCCACAGAATATGTATAAAACTTATCCCCATTCAGTAAGCAATATAAGCTTATACTCCCACATTCTCAACAGATTGTATACCAAAATATCCACATTCACAGATAAGCATATAAGCTTGTATCCACACGACATCACAAAGATAAAGCATATAAGCTCTATCTTCACTTTCTCTAGACAAGCATATGAGCTGTATTCTACGGAGTTCATCCCCTAATCTTCCTCCTCACACTATGTCACGCCCTCCAATAATCACATTAAACCCCATCAGATAAGACATGCATTTACATTTAAAACTAAACCGCAATTCCTTTCATTCA